ATTTAAACAGATGGAAGGAATACTTTGAAAGCGTGTTTATGAGTGAAGAGTCGTCTGAATTAAATGAACTAGAAATTCCGAAAGAAGTGGAAAGGGGTATGGAGATAAGTGTAGATGAAATAATGAAAGCAATGAAAAGCATGAAAGCAGGTAAGGCAGCTGGATATGATAGAGTATCACTCGAGATGCTAAGGGCTGGAGAGGGAGTGGTGGCAGGCCTGCTGTACACCTTGTTTAATTTATGTTGGGAATTAAAACGGGTACCGGATGACTGGTGTAAAGCAGTTATAGTACCAATATATAAAGGAAAAGGGTCACAGCAGGACTGCAAAAACTACCGTGGTGTCAGCATGCTTAGTATTGTGGGTAAACTGTATGCTAAGGTGTTAATTGAAAGAGTTATGAAAGAAACTGATGGAAAAATTTGGGATGTGCAAGCAGGTTTTAGAAAGGGAATGGGGTGTACAGATCAAGTCTTTTCCATGCGCATGATTGCGGAGAAGTTTTTGGCCAAAAACCAGAAAGTTTTTTGTGCGTTCATGGACTTGGAAAAGGCTTATGACAGAGTGGACAGGAATGTGTTATGGCAAACACTGAACTCATATGGGTTGAGCGCTGGTTTGATACAGGCATTAAGGTCTCTTTATAGGGACTCTAGTGCTTGTGTCAGGATCAATGGGGTCTACTCGGACTGGTTTGGCATCCAAAAAGGTGTCAGACAGGGCTGTGTAGCTTCCCCTTGGCTGTTCAACCTATTTATGGACAGGTGTTTGCAAACTTTGAAAGATGAAGAATGTGGGTTAAGAATGGGCGAGTTAACCGTCAAATGCCTTTTGTATGCCGATGATCAAGTCATATTTGCGTCATCGGCGATTGAGTTCCAAATGATGGTTACATTAATGAACTGGGAATTAAAAGAAAAGGGGAATGAAAGTGAACGCAAGTAAGACGAAAGTGATGGCTTTTGAAAGAGAAGAAAGCAAAACTGTATGTGAAATAAGAATAGAAGGAGAGTTAATTGAGCAAGTGGATGAGTTTGAGTATTTGGGATGTGTATTTAGCGGGGATGGTAGATATGATAGGGATATAGAACGACGAGTAAATGCAGGGAATAGAGTGAATGGGGTACTACACTCTATTATGAAGAACCAGAATGTGTCAAAAAAGGCACGTATGGTAATTCATAATGCTCTGTTAGTCCCTACTTTAATGTATGGTAGTGAAAGCTGGGTGTGGCAGAAGAAGAAGTAGAATAAATGCTGTAGAAATGCGGTCTTTACGGAGTATGCTAGGGTTGAATCTGAATGACAGTGTGAGAAATTGCGTGATAAGAGATAAATGTGGTATGCAAGATGATGTTGTAACCAGGATTAAGAAAGGAATGCTTCGGTGGTTTGGTCATGTAGAAAGAATGAATGAGGAAAGAGTGACAAAGCAAATTTATATGGCAGATGTGAACGGCCGAGTCGGGAAGGGACGCCCTAGAAAGAAGTTTATCGACCAAATTGGCGATATTTTGAAAAGGGGCCACGTTAGAAGTACCCTTAACCGACGAGCATGTATGCGTAGATATATGGATGTAAAGGAGGCGAAAGAGGTATGTCAGTAGTGTACATCAAAAGTTGGTTTTGAAATAAATCGAATATATAAAAATTATGTAAATATTTATTGGAATTGTAACTGATCGTTTAACAAATTCTGATTTACAGAAAAAAATGCACATAGACGGATATGCAGTGTTTCCAATGCATGGATGATAAATTCGTTGGTTGGCTAATGGAAAAATAATAATTATAAATCTATTTCTAAAACCTATTTTTTTATTCCATTAGATTTGAAAACCAAATTCTCGATAATTTTTACCTTCCGTCCCGATATTTAACCCATTGGACCTGACAACACTAATACACATGTAGAGAAAGGCGTTAGTACCCTTGAAAAGCTACCGGTGCAGTCAACGCCGTACTGAAAATTACAGATGTTGGTAGCCATTTTATTAGTTTAAATGTTGCAATTAACATGAAATATAAAATGAATTTTATTTTCAAATTAATACATATGTATACATTGAAGTGTCTGTAATTTCAAAATACCAGCCTTTTACTAAATGCATATGAAAATCTATACTGTAGTTATAACAAAATAAATTGTCTATCCATCTGTTTGTTCAGTTTACAGTTGGCAGTGGCAGACAGCTGATGTTATAAAGAGTAACACAGGCTTCTTTTATTTAGAAAATGAATTAGGAATCCGCGCAAAAAAAAAATGAAACCTATAAAATCCGATCGTAATAAACACAAGACCTATGTCAGCTAATGGACTTGCTTAAGGGCTGTAATCATTATTATGATTATGAATGATGTTGCAGTACGAAATCCAGGACAAGCTGCAGGAGAGCTTCTCGTCGCTGTCGCAGGAGCCGCTGCTGGCCGGCGGCTCGCCCAGCGCTAAGCTGCGCAGCGCGCACGACGCTGCGCTGCCCGAGCTCTTCCTCTACTGAACGCTGTGAGTGCCCACCACACGCCGTCATACCTGCACACATTCGCAACAGCAGCCGAATACAAACAAACACCCCAACAACATTCGACTACATGTAAACACGTCAACAGCATTCAACTGCAAGCAAGTACAACAACAACACTACGAAAGATAAACACATTCACAACAACCGAACTATAAACAAATATCAACGACAAACAAATACACCGAACTACCCCATATTATCCCGTGAGTGTCGTAAAATGCGCTAGAGGAAAACTGGAACATGAGATTGGGCTACACTACAGTATCTTACCGATTACAACTAAGAATAACAAACTGCGAACAGCTAATCCCGGTCAGTCTCCCGGGTCATCTGAGGCGACTAGGACTCCGTGACTGACCGCCCCGGGCATGCAGAAAGCGATGCTCCTCTATACCGCCCGCTTTTTTCCCTTTCTCCCTAACCCTCGCCCGTTTGGTTTCCCCTGCCGAGGACTTCCATCTGGTTAGGCTTTTATAAATATATATATATATATATATATATATATATATATATATATATATATATATATAACTTTTGTACTATTTTACTTATGCTACTATTATACGCTGGTATTCTGTGAGAGCGTGGTCGTTCCCCCGGTCGAACAAACCAATTCGTGCTACAACTATACTAATAATATTACTGCAGCATGACTCTACCACGTATCATAACCAAATTTCAATATTTATTTTTTTAACCTTATACAGTTTAAAACCTTATATTTTTAAAGTTATTGTAAAAATGATGAAAAAAAATACCAGATTTTCATCAAATACCTCTTTATTCTACTTTTATGACGTTCATTTTACTTGAAATTTTTACTTTATTGGCACAACCAATTATTAACAATCATTTAAAAATTTATTCCATTTTGATAGGACATTCAGTTTAAAAGTTATAACAATTTATTTAAATAATAATAATATTTTACAAAGTGGTAGAGCCATGCTGCAGTTATATTAGTAGTATAATTGTAGCACGAATGGGTCAGCTCGACCATCCTAGTCCATCCATCTTAGTCCTCACGGGTGACAACGCATCTGCATTTTGATTTGTAATCGAGGATAGATGTAGATAGATGTCTATGGGCCGCAGCAACCACTTACCATCAGGTGAACTATGTGCTCGTTTGTCACCATATCCTATAAAAAAATAGGGTTAGCAGCTACAATTTTAAATTTTAAAATATTCATAAAAAATAAATATTTTTTTTATAATTTTTCCGTCGATAAAATCATGTGTAGTTTCCCTGGTTTTGATATGTGCACTTTATAAAGACTCACACTGTATAATTTAACAACCATACATATACCTTACAAAAACACCGGTTTGCTCGTCGAACAATTAAAAATACTACTATAATATATTATTTCACTATTTGAAAATGCTTGATCTTTACTATATCAGTAGAACGAAACAGTTGATTGGATGGATATTAAGTAAAATTTGTCGTAAAGCGACAATTAAAAACAAAAGAACCTAACCTAACAACAACTAAACAACAAAAATAGAACAAAAACGAATAATTTATTTAAAATTTAAAAGATATTTACAGTTTTATATAAAAAAAATATGAAGATGATGATGGGTGACGTGAATTACATTTTTTTTAAATAACAAAGATAAATGAGTACTGAAACGGAGCCCGAAGACCAAGGTGGCACACCGCCCTTGGCAGTGGTGCTCACCGCTCACGGAGTATGCATAGGCTATGCCTGTGGTAGGTGCGCAGCGCCTGATCTAGGCACACGCAGCGTCTGGAGTAGGTACACGCAGCGCTTGAAGTAGGCACACACAGCGCCCGGACTAGGCACACACAGCGCCCGGAGTAGGCACACGCAGCGTCTGGAGTAGGTACATGCAGCGCTTGAAGTAGGCACACACAGCGCCCGGACTAGGCACACAGCGCCCGGAGTAGGCACACGCAGCGTCTGGAGTAGGTACACGCAGCGCTTGAAGTAGGCACACACAGCGCCCGGACTAGGCACACACAGCGCCCGGAGTAGGCACACGCAGCGGCTGGAGTAGGTACACGCAGCGTCTGGAGCAAGTACACGCAGCGCTTGAAGTAGGCAAACACAGCGCCCGGAGCAGGCACACACAGCGCCCGGAGTAGGCACACGCAGCGCCCGGAGTAGGCACACGCAGTGCTTGAAGCAAGCACGCACAGCGGCTAAAGATAGCGCGGGCACTAGTAGGTGGAGGCGTAGGCGTGGCTAGACGACGACTTCAGATGAAGGCAGAGGCTTGCAGGATCCCGGGGCAGTGCGGCTAAGGCCTTTAGGAGACGCTTCTAGTATGAAAGCTGAAGCGAGACTGACTCAATTGGTTTTTTTTTTTGCGCCCGAAGCAATTAAAGGGCTACCCTATACGTAGGGAGGCGGAAAATGCATTACGCATACCACGATAGCCGGTCTATCGTGGTTATGAGGGGCTCACTGTCCTACCGGGGACCCTAAGTGATACCCTCTAAAAACCGCCTTTGGGGACAGGCAACCGGCTGATTGAGCTCTATTGTGCCTTATCATGAGCGACCCTCTTTTGGGAAAAGAGGGCGCAGGCGGCTAAGTGCCGCTGAGGGAGTGCCTACGAAGGCAAATTAATGTTAGATATTACAATAATTTTATTTAATTAGAGTTGGCCTGAGCCGCCAGGAGACAGTTCAGGTCGTTTGAAAGTTTATTAGGCGGGTCCGAGAGAGAGTTTCTCGGCCTGCGGACACGATAGCGAGAGGGGGGTGGGGCTGCATAAGAAGCTGCCTCACGAATTAAATGGTTTGGGTGCGACTCTGAGGCTTTGAAGAAGTTCTCAGAGAGTTTTTTAAGAAATTGTTGAATTGTTGGGAGCTCTAAGTCCCGATGAAGGTCGGCATTGCGGACGTACCACGGTGCGTTCGCAGCTCGACGACAGAAGAGGTTCTGAACTATTTGGAGTTCATTTAAAATGTTAGGGTTTGCGTGGGCAAAGACGGGGCCCGCGTAGGACATGACTGGTCGGACTGTATTGGCCGATTGTTCGGCTTTTATACTTTTTTTAGAGAGCTCCGCGCTCGACGACGGATCTGAGATAAGAACGGGAAATTATTTAAATTAAAAACAAATTTTTGTAAATGGCCAAGAAGAAAAGAGTATTTTTGTGGAAGTATTGAAGTAAAAACATCAGACCGGTAACGAATTTGAATAAAAATTGCCATGACAACCAGATAAACAACGATGTCAAAACATGTCAAATTTTGGTTTCAGGCTCGTAATAGAGAAACGGCAAGATTTAAGTGAAAAATGAGATATTATTGATATAGGAAAAAAGGTAGCGCAACAGTGCGCACGAAGCCCGAAATTGCAGAGTTACGGAGAACTAAATAAAAGATCGAAAAAGGTGGACTCCATTGACACCGATTTAAAAAGTGCTGATAGCGTGAAAATACGAAGTGAAAATGATTTGTTATTGTGTTCTTATGGTTTAAAAACGTTACAGGATCCTATGGAAATAAAGGTGATGCAAAATATCCTGTTTTGAGGTGAATGCAGAAAATCAAAAACAGAATGGGAAAATAAATTTAAAATAGTGTAAAATGATATGTAAATAGCATAACACTACAAATTATATATTGTATGTAATAAATATTGCGGTGACGATTACGTTTTCTTTTCCAGGTTCTCTCGAACAGGATATTACAATGCTTCGTCGCACACTCCAGCGATATGATTCACGTAGCAATATAACATTAAAATCTAATCTCGTATATTTTAACTATGCTTCCATGACTTATATTGTATCAGACTTTGGTCAGACAAAATTACTTTTCGTAGCTATTTTATTATTATTTTATATATTACTTCCATTTTTAAAGCAATTTCTCTACTAACATATGATTACAGTAGGGTCAGAATATAAATACCCCTATTAATTTGCATACAATATTGCATTTAATATATTCTACTCCAATTGACCGATATAAAAAAATAATACATGTATATTATTTTGTACCCTAGATTTGTATTTAAAATTTAATTCACTGATAAATGATTTTAATTATGAAATATATTTTATTCAATCTACGTAGAAATTTTTTTAAATGAGTTTGTATGACTTTTGTGTATTGTAACGTTTACTGCCAACTTGTTGAGGCATGCGTCACAGCGGGCGTTTTTAACTATAGTCAGCTCTCAATTGTTAAAAGACCTTTTTTTCTGTAAACGAGGCATGCTGAGTCCTTAGAGGTGACAGCACATTTACGTTTTGATTCTGAATCGAGTATATATATATATATAGATGCCTATTGGCTACAGTATATAATTACCATAAAGTAGACTGTGTGCTCGTTATCGTCGTTCTATAAAAAAGTCATCACTGATCGACGGGTGGTCTGCCTACTCATTGGTCGCCACCTCGCCAACAGATACTAAACGGAAAGACAATCTGTTTGTCACCTTCATAAGAGAGACTTTTTATAGTCTCTCTTGTAAAGTTTATATCTGGTCCGTAAAGGACAACGGCGAAAAAATTGTAGATGAAATCATTAAGCGTCTTCTTATATCACCGTTCCAGATATCAATAAATTTATTATGGATTGAAATAATACTAGTTTTTACGGAATTTATCGCGTATATTTAACTTTTTAAATACCCGACGTTTCGAACGCTTTACAGCACTCATGGTAGGGGACTGATAACTACCATGTATAATGCGTAAGTATTTGTTAAATAGCGTAAAAACGTAGTATTATTTCAATGTGTAGTGTTCGCGTAAATATAAGAAATCATTAGTATGGATTATCTAATCAAGCTTAAGGCCTATTGAAGTCTGGAGAAATCATCATACAGACATAATTTAAAATTACATTGACTAGTTACAGTTGTAATACATGCCGTATCATATATACAGCCTATTTTGATGTATATTTTATAGACAAAACTCTTCTCAATATACTAATGCAATATTTTGGGATTCCTTCTATGCTAGTAATTATTCTATAT